ACAGTGGCATAAATTAATGTTAAGCTGCCAGACTGCCCACAGAAATCTACTCAGCCCATAATGTGCGTGGCAGCAGGTCAGGTACCTGTGTTCTATGAGGGCCATTCTGCCACCAAGCTGCCACACAGCCCTGGGCAGCCCTGGTAAGGACAAAACTGGGCTCAAACGCTGCCTCACCTGCCTGTTATGTAATCTCACTGAAGCTATTCAAACCCTTTGAGTCTAAATTTCCACAGCAGTCAAATCATATTTGGGGATGAACCACAAAGAGCACAAAAGGAGCCTACACAAAAATCACTGAAAGGACACTAAATTCTGCAAGGGCCAAATAATGTCAAAATGAGTGTGCAAGGAGGGAGCCCTGTGGCACGACTGGGAAGAGAAAAATACAAAATACCTGCCTTCTAACCGTGAGAGGAAGAAAGAGGGAGCAGAGGCCACAGGGAATAATGATCACCCTGGAGACAGTACAGAATGTATAATTTCCTTTAATAATGCAGCTTTTCCTTTTAGTTTCAAGACTTATCAAGTATCACTGAATTAACACCCATACATATAACATATGAATTGTATATATATAAATCATTTGCAAAGGCGTGGAAAAATGTCTCATGAGCCATGTGATCAGGAATAAAAAACTAGAACAAAATGCCAAAGATGCTGAGAAACCAAGTGCACCAGAGCCAGGAGATCCTGAACGCTCCTTAGGGCTCATCCAGAACAGATTCATCGAGCAGTGATGCTGATTCATGCTCCCATTGAGAGCTACGCAGCACATTTCAAGATAAAGAAAAGGAAGGATTGGGTGATCCTCAAGTAACTAGTTTCAATCCTAAACTATTAAAATGGGGTCTTTTTAATTTAACTTTGCTCTGATGTTAATTTCAGAAAGAAAAAGAACCATAAACAAAGGGGGTGGGTAAAGGATTACTGACTAAATACAATCAAACAATGTTTATGAAATCACAAGGTAAAATAGCATACCAATAAGCAGAGGCTATTTAACTACTCAGAAGGGTAAAGGGGTGGGGGAATGAGAGTTTGAAAGCAATTTTGAGGATTTCTGATACATATTGCAGTAGCAGGCAGAAATCAGGGCAGATCTTGCTTTTGCTCTCCTTTGCTCACTAGTAGTGGAGAAGGAAATGGCAACCCACTCCAGTACTCTTGCCTGGAAAATCCTATGGATGGAGGCTCCTGGGAGGCTACAGTCTATGGGGTCGCAAAGAATCGGACATGACTGAGCGACTTCAATTTCTTTCACTAGTAGAGGTTTGTGTAAAGTGGTGTGGCCACATCACTGCGGCTGTACCCTTGGCTTGACTTTCTGACCTTCCCTAGAGATCTTGCTTGGAGCACCTGTAAATACATACGCTTGGAGCACACTGCCCTAGGTGGTCAGAAACTTGCTTTCAAGCAGATCCTGTTGGTAATTCCACTTTATGGAATTCTATGGTTTGTCAGAGGCAGTTGAAAAGATTTATGACTCTGGCTGCCTCTTTTCTGATAATAAAGTTCTTCAGGTTTCTCTTCGTTTATTTGCTGTTTGCTTTTAATAGCTTGACCATTTGGGGCTGCAATAGCATCATAATAGTTAAACTGCAGGTTGAAATAGTTTAAACTGTTCTCTCTTTCATTTCCTAATAACTCATCACAGTGATTTACTATTTAATAGTACCACTGACTGTTGGCCTTGTTCTGTTATTTCTATGGCCCTAGGATCACACCCCATTTTTGAATGTTTTTCTTTTTCACTGTTAGAATACTTTCCACAAGAGGTCAAGGCAAGCATGACAATTAACTTTTGCATTTCTGAGTTGAAAACTACTAGGCTGTTCTTCCAGAAGTTTCACCTTGCATTCTCAGTTTAAGGGGCTCCCCTCCCCCTGCATCTTAGGAAGAAAACACAGGTAACTCTGAGTAGGTTGTTCATGAACCACAGTCACCTTTACTGTTGATATCAGTTTGGATGCAGCCTGAGAAGGCGCTACAGCTTGTGGAATCACTATTTAGAGCATCCGTTGGCAAAAGGAAAAAAAGAATCTTGACCTAAAGTCACATCTTATACAAAAATTAACTCAAGATGGATAGCCAACTTAAGTATGAAACATAATACTATAAAATGTTTGGGGAAAAAATGAAAGAAAATCTTCAGGACCCAGGGCTGAGCAAAGAGTTGTTAGACTTAATGCCAAAAGCACAATCCATAATAGGAAAACCTAGTAAATTGAATCATTAAAGTTAAAATTGACAACTTTTGCTTTGCAAAAGACTCTGTTAAGAAGCTGAAAAGAGAAGCCACACACTGAAAGAAAATACTGGCAAACTATCAAAGGACTAGTATCTAGAAAGTATAAAGAACTCAAAGCACTAAATAAGAAAACAATCCAGTTAGAATGTAAACAAAAGACATTGTGATGAAGAAAATGGACAGATGGCTAAAAACACATGAAAAGACATTGTATCTCATTAGTCATTAAAGAAATGCAAATTAAAATCACAATGAGATATCACTACATACCTCTCAGAATGGTTCAAACAAAAAAAGAGTGAGAATACCAAAAGATGAGAATCCGCATCCTGCTGATGAGGATGCCAAGAAACTGGATCATTTACACACTGCAGATAGGAAGGAATGGAAAATGGTATAGCCACTCTGAAAAAAGAGTATGGTAATTTCTTATAAAATTAAATGCACTTATCATTTGACTCAGCCACTCCACTGAGCATTCATTTCAAATAAATTAAAACTGATACTCACAAAAAGAGGTTTTTTTACACAAATGATCCTAGCTTTATTTGTAATAGTTCCAAACTAGAAACAACCCAAATGTCCTTCAATGGGTGAATGGTTAAAAAATTGTAATACATCACGGAATACTACTCAGCAATAAAAAGGAAAAAATATTACATAATACAAGCAACATCTTGGGCAGATCTCAAGTGCTGTGATCTGAATGTTTGTGTATCCCCAAAATTCATATGTTGAAACCTAGTGCCCAATGTGATGGTATTTATTAGGAGACAGAGACCTTTTGGATGTGACTAGGTTATGAGGGCAGAACTCTCATGAACTGCTGCCCTTATATAAGAAGCCTGAGAAAGCTCCTTGCCTCTTTTACCACATGGAAATCACAGTGAGAAGACAGACATGATGGCTCCCTGATCTTGGACTTCCAGCCTCCAGAACTGTGAGAAACAGTTTTTGTTGTTTATAAGCCGTTCAGTATGTGATATTTTTGTTACAGCAGTCCAAACAGACTAGGATATCAAGGGGATTGAACTGGGTTTAAATAAACCAATCTCAGAAGGTTAGCGACTGTATGATTCCATTCATATATTTTTGAAATGACAGATTATAGAGATGGAGAACAGCAGTGGTTGTCAGGAGGATGGGCAGAAGGAAGAAGGTGAATATGGCTTCCAAAGGGTAGCACACGAAACTTTTTTGAAGGAACTGTTCTATATCTTGATTGTGACGGTGGCCGCACAAATTTACATGTAACAAAACTCAACAGGACTAAACACATGCAGGTTCACCCATACAAAAATGAATGCTTGTAAACCCTTGTGAAATCTGAATAAGGTTAGAAGACTGTATCAATGTCAATTTCCTAGTTGTGACAGTTATTATACAATAGTCACATAAGGTGGGAAACTGGACGAAGGGTGGAAGACATCATTCTATTATTTTTTAGAGCTACATGTGAATCTAAAATTATCTCAAACATTTAAAAAATCACTATATTGTTGTGTTTATTCTAAGTGTTCTGCCTTTCTATGGTTCACCCATTAGATGGCTGATTTCTTTCTTCCCTAAACAACCTTGCTACTCTCTAGGGTCCTAACAGTGGAAAACAATTCACTAAAACTGGTCGTTTAATTCTTGCTTTCCGAAAATTCTTATTCATAGTTTAGTATTACTAAGTGAAACATGTCCCCTGGATATAAACCTATATTTGAATACTGACTCTTACACTACATGAAATGGACAAAATACTTACTTTCTGAGTTACCTCATTAATAAATGGGAGTAAAACCTATTTCATAAGTCTATTGTGAAGCTAAATAAAATAATAAGTAAAGTACTTGGCACAGAGTAGATCCTTAAATGCTCATTCCCCTCATCCTCCCATTAACAATCTATCCAGACATAAACATATCAACAAAAAGTTTGGTTTTCAGTTCCCAAGACGTTTATTTGGAAAACAGGAGCTGCATCTTCAACAAGCATGCTAGGAGTTGGGGATGCGGTGAGGCTGAATTGGTTCTTAAGAAATATTTCGGTTTAGGAGATTATAATCATCATTTTAAACCCAAGTTCTCACTTTGAGCTTGAAAACAGTCCAACCATCAAAATGGTTTATAAATGTTTTAGTGTACCTTTCATGTTATTATGAATAGTGACTGGCTGCCATATAGATGTTTAAATCTATCAATAATAACCAATCACACAGTAGCTTGTTTCCATTCAGATACCAACATATGTGTATATGTTGGATGAGTTCAAGCTTTAAAAATGACAAGTACTACAATGGTATAATTTCATCCAATCCATTTACCTACAAAAATACTTTTTAGTAATAGACACCCCACAAGGTAATAAACTTTATGTATGTCATAGGTTTTTAGTCATAGCTCAACTAATGAAGCTAAAGAGCAGTAGGAAATAAGTACTTAGGATTTAAAATGCAATGTAGCTTGCTAAACACAGGATTCTGAGCAGTCTGCAGTGTGATGCATACAGACAGCTAGACTCTCTGAGCACTGGCCTGAGAGAATTGTCAAAGATAAAAATAGAAGAACCAAATGTTATTTCTCTAGTAAAAATAAGAAAGAGATGAAACAGAGTCCATCTAATTGCTCCTGGTTATGTGCTCTCTTTATAAACAGTCACAAATAAAAAAAAAAAAAAAAAGCCAAACGTCCTTAACACTTAAGGACAAAGTCCCCTCAAACATTTTTCAATACTGGTATAAATTTGCCAAACAAATGCTTACCGAGCAAAATAACTTTGTTTCCGTTCCTTCTTCTCTTCCTTGGTATCCATAACATGCGATCAAAAGTGCAAAATATTTGGAAAATTCCTTTTTAATCAATGAGTCATAACCCTGGTTAAAAAAAAAAAAAAATAGAGTGACTGTAAATTAAGAAGTTCATAATGGCCAATATGAAGAAAGAAGCAAAACAGAGCTACATGGCCCCAACAAATAGAAGCTACACTTTAACCAGTGAGTAGAGTCAATGAGTCCTATATGAAATACAAGTGCCCCTGCAGGAAGTGGGGGCAGGACACTATAATTAGAACTGAGGTGTTAAAACTAACAAAATGAAAAGCAGCTAGAAAAATAAATTGAAGTATTTTCCTCATAATTAACAATTATTTCAAAGTGTGCTAAAGCAAAAACTGCTGACTTTGGAAGATTTTAGGTTTGCTATGCAGAAGCTAATTTTTTAAAAAATCTTTGAATTCATAATCACTATTTTCAAGCCATTAATGATGAATATGTCTCATCCACAATGATGAAAAAAAATGGATCACTTGGGTGTTTTACAAGAATGTTCTTCCTTTAAAAATAAAAATAACATCAGCATTCTATTTTATTTTGGAAACATGTCAGCAAGTATCAATACATCTCACTCGAGCAAATGTGGAAATGAAAGCACAAAGCCTTGGGAAGCTATCCCTCAGAAAGGTTTTATCTGCTTGCCTCTACCTCACTATCTCACCCGTGCAACTCTCACCTCTGCTTCCCAGGAGTAACCTGGTTTAAACCTATAATAAGAGGTTGTCTCCAGATCAGTCTTCCTTAAATACCACTCTCATCATGCCATGCCCCTGCTCAAAAATCCCCAAAGTCTACTTACTGCCTGGAGCACTAATCTAAATTTTCTGCATAGCATTCGCCTTTCCTAAAATCTTGCCTTTTCACCCTGAATGAGTCTCAAAGTAAAAAAAAAAAAAGAAAATTTCATCAATCAAAATTATTTACTAATTTATTTCAACTCCATAAACAATGTAATTCACAATCCCTATTACAGGGAAGGTACTGTGATAAATGAGTGAAATGAATGAATGAAACTCGCTCAGTTGTGTCCAACTCTTTGCGACTCCAAGGACTGTAGCCCACCAGGTTCCTCCATCCATGGGGTTCTTCAGACAATAATACTGGAGTGGGTTGCTCCTCCCTTCTCCAGGGGATCTTCCTGACCCAGGGATCAAACCTGGGTCTCCTGCATTGCAGGCAGACGCTTTAACTTCTGAGCCACCAGGGAAGCCCCACAAGACAGGAGACTTGCCCTAATCGTGTTCACTGTCTTGCAAGGGAGACACTTAGGATCTCAGCTCTGTGGGATACAAACAGCTGTGGAGAAGAAACAGACCCCAAAGGAAGAAGACAGGCTTCCACAGGGCCCACCCTCCTGCAGCCCCCACACACACCAAGATCTGAAGGATGAGCGTGGGTTCCCAGTTACAGGGCACGGGAAGCAGGTCTGGCTGAACAAAAGCGACGTGTAGACACAGTCTCTCTCTGCTGCTCCAGGATCAAACGTGAAGCAGGAGAGCGGTGGGAGCTGAGGATGAAGACATGGACAGGATTCGGGTCGTGAGGACCTCTCAGGTCATGCGAAGAGCTGGAACTGCATCCTCGCTGCCCACTAGGCGCTGCCTCCGCTCCCCGGCACCTTCCAGCACCATGACACCAAGGCTCAGGCTGACCCCACAGCCGCCCTCCCAACAGACCTCGCCGCAGGGACGGAGGGCGTGTAACACCCACCGGGTGCAGAGGATGGACTTCAGAAGACTGACAAGAGGGCGAACAGACTCGGCCCTATCTCAGTGGGCTTCCCTAGCGGTCCAGTGGTTAAGAATCTGCCTGACAATGCAGGGGACACAGGTTTGATCCCTGGTCCTGGAAGATTCCACTTGCTATAGGGCAACTAAGCCCGTGCATCACGACTACTGAAGCCAGAACACCCTAGAACCTGTGTTTTGAAACAAGAGCAGCCACGGCAATGAGAAGCCCGCACACAGCCATGAAGAGTAGCCCCTGCTTGCTGCAACTAGAGAGAGCCCACACACAGCAATGAAGACCCAGCACAGCCATAAATAAATTTTAAAGATGATAATAATATAAGATTTTTTAAAAGAAGATATCACAGTCTAACTAGTTGAGAGAGGGCCCACACTTAGGCCAACAGTATTTACACAGAAAGAGAAGGCATGGGTTCAAGACATATTAAGGAGGCAAATGAGTCCAAGTTTGGTGACGCACTCCACAAAGACAAGACGGGAAGGGAAGGGATGATGGATGCCTTCCAAGTTTCTGCCTCAGGGGCTGGATAGATTGTGATACCACAGATAAGATATGATCTACAGGAAAAGGGCAGGCACTTGGCGGGGTGCAGAAGCAGAAACAGATGAAAGATCAGTTTTGGGCACACTGCCTTTGAAGACCCACGGGACTGTCAGCTGGAGACATTCACCAGATGTTAGATTTCATAAAGCACAGGAGTGCAGAGAGGGCTAGAGAAAAAGATTGAGAAACTAACAGCATATGGTTGTACTTGAGGAAAAGGAAAACAATATGATGATAACGCCCTGCACATACAACTATGCACAAGGCCCTGTACGGAAACAGTGAAGGACACGGGCTCAACTCTCACTAGTTTATCTTTGAAGCCCTGACGTGGGGCTGCCCTCAAGGGACTGACCAACCAGTAGGAAAAAATAAGATGTGTGCCCATAACTAAAATGGAGAGTTAGTAACTTAGAGCTGTCCAAAATAACATGAAGAATCCAAAAGACACAAAGTTCAACTTGGAGGTAACGAAGTAAACCTTTCAGGATGGCGAGGATTTCAACAGGTAAAGAGGGAAAAGAGAAAGGATTTCAGGAACAGAGAACAGCCAAGCATGAAGTCTGGACATGGAAGGGCAGAGTGGCAAGGGCAGGGAAAGAAAACCACCTTTCCTTTCCACAAGTCATCATTTCAATGTTTCCCACATGTTCTCTCTTTTCATCCCTACACCACATTATGAGTAAGGCATCCTTACTTCCAGTAAACTGAGACTGAGAGATGCTAATTTCCCTAGGTCAACCCTCCCAGCCTTGGTGGAGCAGAGATTTAGATCCAGTTTGGTGTACCTTTCCGTGCCTTTTGATAACCTGTGAGGCCAGAAAGCATTTGGAGATGAGTTAGGGAAAGTGGTCTGGAATCAGCAGCATCTAATGCCTCAGCTCTTCAGGTTAAGACAAATGTACCCAACACAGTGGAGGGGCAGCGGGTCACTGAACCCTCCAACAGGACGGCCTCGGTGGAAAAGACCCTGATGCTGGGAAAGATTGATGACAGGAGGAAAAGAGGGCGACAGAGGATAAGATGGTTGGATGGCATCACCAACTCGATGGACATGAGTTTGAGCAAACTCCGGGAGATGGTGAAGGACAGGGAAGCCTGGCGTGCTGCAGTCCATGGGGTTACAAAGAGTCAGACACGACTGAGCAAACGAACAGCAAAGTGGAGGGTGGGGGTGGAAGCCACGCCTTCACGAACCAGGACAGTACTCATTCGAAAATCTGGGGAGCAAAAGATGAAAACGACAGTAGCCAAGTGTCCAGCCCTCATCACCTCCATTTCACATGTGGCCTGAACCCACGGAGCTCCTCGCCAGCTCTCTACCTTCATCCTTACTGTTCTCCAAGCTTAAGGTAATCTTGCTACACTTCTTCTTCCCCTGATCGGATCCAGCACAAGATTCAGCCGTGCTTCCCTGGACACTTGTGTGCCCTTCTCTCTCTGCCTTATAAGCGCACTCCACGTGTCACTTATCACTTACTGTGAGGCACTTGACCCTACACGGTGTGACAACGCCACTTCACTTAGCCTCCGCAGCCCCAGACGACCAAGGTTCCCTCAAGTCAAAAACCATCATGTTTCACACTCTGCTTATACTTCCCTAAATACCTAACACAGAACTAGGCAGAAAAACCACATGCAAGCTAAGCAAGGAATTAATCCAATCCTGGGGATAAGATTGATGACATGGTAGACAAACATCAATCCAAAGATTCCTCCCAAAGTAACAGTTATTTGGGGACTTCCCTGGTGGTCCAGTGGTTAAGATTCTGTGCCTCCACTGCAGGGGGCATGGGTTCAACCCCTGCTTAGTTTGGCAAATATACACACACACACACACACACACACACACACACACACACACATATATATATACATATAAAATTATTATTTGGAAATGGGGACTGTAGGTTCAAGCCAGCCCCTCTGGAACTCCAGAAAGAATTAGAACCCTGGCTCTCTGCCCTGCCCTAGGCCAGGTAGTTTATTTTAAAGTCTCGCTTCTGCATGCCATCATATGTGATGATCTCTATTTATTAGATTTCCCCTCATGAATAAAAATGAAGCCATAACTACCTAATTGGAAAATTTTTATATTGCAAGCTGAGCCAGAAACTAATATTTGGTTCTAGTAGAAAAATATTGACAAAAATAAATACAAGGAAAAAAAAAAGATTAAATGATCCAAGAACTGACATCTGGTGCTGCTGTGTCTGTTTAGAACTAGAGGAGTTCTTTTTCCATTTTCTATTCAACAGATAAAAAAAATCCAAATCTTCCATTTCTTTTAAATTTCTGGGAACTGATCTACTTCTTAAACCAGATGGATGCAGCCCTTTCAGGTACGGACACACCAACAGATTAACCAGGAAGAGATCGGCAAAGGATGCCATAAAAATGATTTGCACAGAGCACCACCCGGCAGTCTTCATGCTTCACCGAAGAACCAGAGCTCCTTAAATCAATCTTTAATGGGAACTACATTCTCCATTGTAAGTGGTTATAATGGGCTTCTTAAAAGCCCTTCTTCCATTTAATGTTGAGTTTCTCCTCACATCAATAAACCCTAGACTCATCCAAACACTGAATTACAAGAGCCTCCTGCTTTCAGGGTGCATTACAGACCAAGAAGAATGCTATGAGAGAGTACAAGATGTATCTTCTACCTAAATATTTCTTTTTGTGACCTTAAATCAGTACACTCATTTTAAATTTAGTTCATTATTTTTTAAAAAATGACATATACAAAA